GTTTTAGTTATGCAATAACATAAACATTGCCGTGGCCGTGATTTGCAACAATTTAATATATTTCAATGAAATGCAGAAATATTTGAAACAAGAAGGTATATTTTAACATTAAAAACTATTTAAAAATCTATTTCCTTGAATTTATACTTGAAGGTAAAATTTTGACCGCATTAAAAAGGTTATTTTATTATTAAATTCGTATATATTAAAAAAAATATTTACTTAGTAATAATTTTTTTTTTCTTATCCAAAATGAATTGAATGTCTTTATTCGTATATTAATGCAATTACATGGATTATTTTTAAATTACGGATAAACGTATCGTAGTTTAGATACTCAGAGGCCTGTCCCATCAAATTGTAAATTGCCTGATAACAATCGAACGTATAAAATATGTGATGGAAATATCGGAATTTGTTACCTTATTTGATAGTGACGTCATTTTTAAACTATCTGAGCCTCTATCAGCCAGTGGTGGGACAGGCCCTAAATGTTGATATTCATTTGTTACTTATTGGCTTTTTATAAAAGAAAGAATTATTCAAAAATATGCTGTGATTGCTGACATCCTACGCCACGAATTAGTGTGCGTTTACGCTTTATTACATTAGTATAAATTGTTTCTATTGTAATATAGTTGCCCGCGACTTCGTCCGCGTGGTATTAGAAAACATACGAACTATATAAATAACAAAAAGCTACGTATCCCTCGGGAACCGGACATTTGTCAGGGATGAACCTTATCCCATATATACTCCAGAATTTGTTATATATTTGTGACAAATTTCAATAAGATATATTGAACCTTTACAGAATAATCGAGTAAACATTGAAAAACAAAATTAATAAATCCCACGGGAACCGTAACTATTCCCGGGATAAAAAGTAGACTATGTGATCTTCCAGACTATCCTCTACATCTATACCAAATTTAATCGAAAGCCGTCCAGCCGTTTAGGCTACAAACTCTAATAAACATCCATCTAAACTTTCGCATTTATGTTAGTATGATTTTTACTACAATATTGAATCAGAATGATACATCACTAGGATGATATCATTTATACCTTATCACTGATAACGCTTGCTGTTCTGATAATGTCGGATCATAGATTACAATTTGGCAAAACGTCATCGACCTCGTATGACCTATTAGGGTTCCTTACGCCCGTAACAAATGAAAGTGAAAAATTTCCCTGTTCCAATCAAAAGTATGCAATAAAAAATCATACTTCATACTATTATAAATGTGAAAGTTTAGATGGATGTTTATTAGAGTTTGTAGCTAAAAAGGCTGAACGGATCTCGATGTAATTTGGTATACATGTAGAGGATAGTCTGGAAGAACATATAGGCTACTCACTTTTGTGTTTTTTACTTCCACGCGGACGGAGTCGTGGGCGAAAGCCAGTGATACAGCTTAAACACACTACTTGATGACGTAGGTATCAGTAATCACAGCATATATTTGAATAATTTTTTCCTTTATAAAAAGCCCTACACTTACGACTCGCTTTTGGGTATATATATACGCTATTAAACTTAGGTCATAAATAAATTTGAAAAACCTTCATGTGGAAGACCATAAACTACAAGCTGCCAACATTAAGGAAGGAATGTTATTATAACGGTAATTTTGAATGCAATTTGCCTAATGTGAACAATAAAATAAAGCTTTTTTAATTTCATGCTGATAAAGCCGCACGGGAACAGCTCAAGAATAAATAAAAATCAATGAAAAGTACTAAATTAATGCGCGATCTAATTTTAATGTTTCCGCTATGAATTTTAATAGATTTTTTTTTGCGTTGAACTAGAAACTTCCTTTGTGTCATTTATTTTGATTATCATGAACACCGACATTGACACTGAATAAATTTAAATAACTCGACAAAATAATATCACTATGGAAAAGCCATTCTATTAATAATGCATTGAGTTCTACAATCAATGTTTTAGAGATCCCTATTTGTTTGCCGTGTACAAAACACTAGTGACCCGCCCCTGCTTGGGTCCAATGTTAATACATTTTTTTTATTTAAATCACATTAGAAACCTCTATTAGTATTTATCAGTAAATATAGTAATATTAAACACTAACTGTTGCTCGCGTGTTCACCCGCGTGGAATTAAAAAAAATATAGCCTATGTTATTTACAGATAAACTATCTTTCCAGCGGTTATAGAATTTTTAAAATCTGCCCAGTAGTTTTTGAATTAATTCAATAAATACAAAAATATAAATCTTTCCTCTTTATAATATTAGTATAGATATAAATTACAAAATTACAAATCAAAAAGTATAGATAAGTCTATACTATCATTATAAAGAGATTCAAGAGTAAGGCTTATCTTCCTTTTGAAATTGAAATTGAATTTAAAAACTGCATCAAAACCCACTACGTAGTTTTAAAGATTAATGCATACATAGGGTCAGACAGACAGCGGGAGTCGATTTTATTTTTTACTATGACGTGATATTTTATTCTAAGTTTAAAAAACAGTTTAACAGTAACATGGATACAGAAATCTTTGTCCTCTAATTTTAGGGTTTATAAAAAAATAGGAAGGGAAAAAACTAGAATTATCTTCTCCTAGATATAACCTAGGACCTTGGTTAGCGACAAGACCTAATTATATCCTTTGCATTATAAAACGGTTTTGCAGGTCTAATTACAATGTTGCCTGTCAAAAATTGTGTTATATTGACAAGTGTACGGAACCAAAGATCGGATTGTAAGACTCACTTCTAAAGTAAGTTTATATTACCATGTGTGACTTTTTAATTGTTTTATTGACGCTAAGTGGCAATACTAACGAGCTACAGACCGGTTGCCATGCGGCTCCCACATGGTCACGCATTTATATTTAAAAATGTTATTTTAAATTCCCTTACGAGATCTATACGAGTCCTGATAAAAGGAGGTGTTTTGATATTACGCGAACAAACGTGGACTTTCGACGATAAAAAAAAAAGTTTTATTATAATTATGATTAAAACTAAATGCATATAAGAAAAAAAAATTACATAAACAACTTCGAGCAAATTTTTTTGTTGATCGAAAATGTATACAAAAAAATATTTATTCAGATTACTAAACCTACATATAGATGGCGCTAGTAGTATATTGTAACGCGATGTTGCTTTACTCAACAAGAACTGAGTGGTTCTACCACGTACGGTATGTTGATCAATTTTAGGTGGCCGCTAGTTTGTCCCCTTATAACTTTAAAAAAAGTAATTTTTGTCGTAACCGTCTGAAACGATTTGTTTTGGCGGTTATTAAATAAAAGAAACACAATAACACTGCGACTAGTGGTGGACGTAAAAGGAACTAATTGATCTCTCGACGTCGCAACCGTTTATCAGTCAACGTTTTTTTGGAATCACCCGTTTTCGGTTATTTCTATTTTATTCGTTTGATTAACTAGTCGACAAAAATAACTGTTTCGTTGAAGCTAAATCCATCGCTAACATCTGTTCTTTAACGTAAACCGTAACGTTTTTAGTTTTTTGTTATGTTAATATTCTGAATCATTGTTTGGTCAATATTTGAGTAATAGGCTTTGTTTGTTAAAGTAGATGTTATAATTTATTACATGCTCATTCAAATACCAATTTATAAAAGAATTGTGGTTAAAATTTATGAATTGTTCGAATTAACAGACCGTGTCAAACCTTGGCCGTCAATGGAAATCCCAGTGAACCGTGAGGGTCTATAACGAATATTTGCGAGAACGTATTAGTAACGTTATCGATTAATTTCGTATGAGATTTTATAGTGTTTACGCTCTACACGTACTTACGAATTTTCGTGCTTCCTCATTTATGTTGCGTATACCGATATTTTAAAAGACATGACATCGTATACTAGGATGTCGTAATCTTGATTGTTGTGTAATATTGAAGTGGTAATCATTCGATTGTTAGTATTGTACATTGATAATTATTATTGATTGGTACAATATATTATGGAATATTCCAATTGATATTGAATTATGTCATTTCTGAAATTAAAAAAAAAAAACTATCATAACATACTATTATAAATGCGAAAGTTTAGATGGATGTTTGTCAGAGATTGTAGCATAAACTACTGAACGGATTTCGATGAAATTTGGCATAGATGTAGAGGATAGTCTGGAAGAAGACATAGGCTATTCACTTTTTTTTAATTCCACGCGGGTGAAGTCGCGTGCAATGTTTAATAATGACACACCTTAAACTATTGGTTAGTAATTATCGTGTATTTAATTCAATTAAAATTGATTACACATGTGTTCATAACTAACAGCCTCAAAATACTGGAATATCACAATTATTTTTAACAACTATACTAATATTACAAAGAGGAAATATTCGTATTTTTGTATGTATTGAAATTTAAAAACTACTAGGACGATTTCAAAAATATTAACTAGCTATTGCTCACGACTTCGTCCGCGTGTAATTTTTAAATTCGGTCCAGTAGTTTTTAGTTATTTCAATACATACAAAAATACAAATATTTTCGCTTTACAATATTAGTATAGATATAGAAGACAATTAATTATATAGACATGTGGTTTTGACCCCATCAATAAAAAGCGTTAGTGAAAAATGTCAACTATGCCTCCTCTATATTTTTTTAATCTTTGCCTACCATAGATTATGTATCCCCAATGAAAACTGTTGGCTATTAGATCGATAGTATCTTGAAATACGTCTCTCAGAGTTAATATCGCATACAACAAATGAACACAAATAGAATTTTCCAGACTATATTTCATTATAATTTGCATAATTTATATGAATGGCAAGTCATAACTAAGATAATGAAGGGCCTCGTAATTTAAATCAATTTACTTTGTTGTTATCACAAGTTTGTAAATACTGTCCGTTTATACTGCGACTTAATCTTCTTGGTACTTCAACAATTTAAAAATGTATAAAACATATTACATCGTAATTAAAATAACTCAATAAATATACGAATTATTGGAATTTATTTTCTTACAGATAACAACTCATCCTGACTACTCCGACGAAAACGGCAGCTGACCGATTGTATCTGCGATTGAAAAGACGAAGAAAAAAAAAGAAAATAGTATTTAATAGTCTGTAAGACTCAAAACTGCCTGTGATATAATTTATTTTTATTAATTTATTTTTTCAAAAGAATTCCAAATTCGAATTAGAATTAAACATAGACTAAAGTGAAATTAGATCTGGTCATTAATTGGTTAGTCAATTAACTTTTTAATCTGTGGTGATGAGAGACATGAAGGCTTGCCAGCACACACTGTCAGATGACGTCATCTACAAGGAGGTAGTTGTTATCGGTAAGTCGACATTCCGCAGATTATTTATATAATTCCATTTATCATTTCTCTTCTCAAGGCTGAATTCCAAATTAATTACTGTCACGAAAAAAATAACGCATAATTACCCTACTTTTTATCCAAATTAAAAATGTTTACGCGTAATGTCGGGTCTATTTTATTTAATCGTATTTCATACTTATATTATAAATCCGAAAGTTTCGATGGATGTTTGTTAGAGTTTGTAGCCTAAACTGCTGAACTGATTTTGATGAAATTTGGTATAGATGTAGAGGATAGCTTGGAAGAACACATAGGCTACTCAATCTTGTTTCTATTTAAGCCAGTATTTTTAATATCATAATTTCGTTGTTGTTGATTGTCGATTGTTTCTCAGCCAATTCAACTGTTTAGTTGCACAACTAAAAATCGAGTAGTGTACACCTCCATATAAGCTCATAGGAATTATAGCGAGACAAAACAGTTGTGCGATAGTTTAGTTAAATGTGTGCGCGCTCAAAATAGTCTGACCACATTGATCTAACAAGAGTTGACCAATAAAGTCAATTGACCGTCTCGACGTTTATTAATGCAGTTAAATTGTCTTTTAAAAAAAAACATACAGACGAATTGAGTACCTCCTTCTTTTGGGAAGTCAGTCAAAAATGGGCAGGATATAAAACGTAGTGTTTTCTGCCTTGAGTTACGCCATTATGGCGCTGATAGTTGCGGTTGCGGTGATGAAAATTCAAACTAACAATTAACTGTATTAATCTTTGATTAAAAAGTCCCTCAACTTATGCTGGGTTTCTGAAGTTCCCGTTTATTTTATCGTAATCTGGTGATTCAATAGTGTCCTGACACTAACCAATTAACCTATATATCAAACGCTTTGAAACTTAAGTTAAGTAGTTTAGAAATGCATTACATGAACTTATCGAACCAAAAACACTAACGAATGGTTTAACGTGGCTAGGAAATCGGCCATAAGGGAGAGAAAAATAAGTGCATCTTCCAAGAGGCCAAAAAACGCGCCAGTATTTGGACTTGTTACCTTGTATTTGGACTTAACTTTGTCCAATCCTTAGCTAATGGAACGGATCACCGTTTGGCATCAGCCAACATTTCAAACACAATTGTTTCACCAGTTTACGCTTACAAATGTCTATTTACCAGACAGATTAAAATGTATTTGTATTTAGGCAATGGTCCGAGCGGTCTGGTGACGTCATTCATGCTGGCGGGCAATGTGCCCTACTTAAAGCGGGAAATACCCGAGGATCTGCCCATAGACGAGATGCTAAGAGCCAGGTGAGAATACTCCTTAGTATTTTTATATTATAAGGAAAACGAGATAGAAACTTGAAAAGATACCGGCCCATAGACATTAAAGAATATGCGTGTATTTTTTAAAACTTTTTACTTGTTGTACCATAACCAGAAAAAAAATAAAAAAAAAACAACCATTGAGCTTAAAATATAAAATCATAAGTGTGCGACTAAAACGTGGCCGTAGTGTGCCAGAGTGTTGTGACGTCATCTAACAACAACAAACTATTTGATTGGTTCTCAGATCAGAAGTCAAAGGTTACTAAATCCACCTATAACTTGCTTTGACTAATAGCGTTACATTTTAGAACTTGGTAAGCGAGTTTTGAAAAAGTTTTTAATTATTAAATTTCGCTACTAAATTATATAAAAAATCTTAATATATGTGTTTTCTAGTAATAAACTTAAAAAAAAGTCGTCCAAAACGACGTCATGTTCACATTGCCTATTTTAAATGCATTGACGAACGAAGATATATCCTCTCACATAAGTTATTTCTATCTGTTAAATATTAACTTAACTAGAAACAATTAAATAACTTCAAAATAATCATAATGTTCCAGATTATCCAACTTACCTCCAGGACAGAATTTACTTGAAACAGACTTAATGGAGCTGGCAGAGGGTTTGGAGGGACGAAGTCAAAATCCTATTCCTCTATTGGTAAGAACTTAAGTTTTATTATAAAGACAAATTTTTAATGCTATTTTTCATTATCTTATTAATATAATAATTATGAAAGTTTGTATGGATGTTTGTTAGAGTTTGTACCCTAAACCGCTGATCGTGTCTCGATGTTTGTATAGTTGTAAGGCAGAGGTTCCCAACCTCGTGCCCACAAGCACCATTTCGCCCGGGGAACAATTCGTGTGTGCTCGCCACTATTAGACGCGGACTGATTTTTTTTTATATACTAATCCATACTTATATAATAAAGCGTAAACACATAATACTTCGTGGCGTAGGATGACAGCAATGACACCATGTTTTTCAATAATTCTCCTTTTATTAAGAAGCCCTACACTTACGACACGCTTTAGGTTATGTTTTTCCACACTAGTAAACTTAAAAGGTAAATAAATTGGATAAAAACTGATATGGGAAAGGAACCATTATACAAGCTGCCAACATTAAGGAAGCAAGGTTATTATGGTAACGATAATTTTGACATTTGCAATTGAGAATTTGACAAATGTAAACAAATAAATTATAATCTCATGCGGATGAGTCCGCACGGGAACAGCTAGTTAAAAATTGTTGTTAGAATTGTTTGTATTTGTCAGTTTTAATTTTTTGGACTGCCTAGCTATGTGTGTTAAATACGTTAGCTGTGAAATGGGAAGTTATGGAAGGAGTTGGTCCGATATTTTAGAATGTGAATAGAGTACAAAAAGGTTGGGAACCCCTGGTGTAGAGCAGGGATGTTGCGAATATTCGCATCCGCATCCGCAAATGCGGAGCTTCCGCATAGATTTGGACATCTGCATCTGCATCCGCATCCGCATTAATCAGTGCGGATGCGGATATCGTGCAAGTAGCCGGACAGTGTTCCTAGCGAACAAATATTTAGTAGCCCGGGTTTAATTTATGAACCTCTCCGTAATCGCCCTGAACCAGAAAAGGCGGCAATACTCCTGTTCATTAAGTACAATGCTCCTATTTTTAATTTTAATTACTAATTTACCAATA